ATGCTAATAAACAAAGTCCGGTCCCTGTCATAGAGTTCGGGTCTCTTCCCAGTTCCCCCACTCCGTTGACCTTTCTTTAGAAATTGGCAACACCAGTGTATGTTATATTTCTGGTCTCTTTTATCTAAGTCCAAAACTTAAAATGCAACTATCAGATAAGTCGTATACGAGTTTTGTCAAAAAATATTATTTTTGCTGAAGAGTACCTTTATTTTTGACAAACCTCGTATACGACTGATAAAATTTGATATCTGATGGTTGTATTTTAGGTTTTAGACCATGCTCGATTTATATGGAGAACAACTTTTTTTCCTAATATTAATAATAAAAAAGTTTTTCATATCTTGCCAACTCACGTAGAGGCTCACCTTTAAACTATTATTTTTAGCTTTCTTACTCTAAAAATAAGCATCATACTTGGTTTCACCCACTGATCTGTATTATTTTACTGGATAGGATATAGGCAATATTTAACATACTAAAAAAACCGTTCCACCAAGGAGACCGGAAGTGCAACACTGCTGGCCGATTTGGGCAAATTATGGTGGGTTCACAGAACTGAAATTTGGGATAATTTGACATACCTAACCTATAATTTGATTAGTTTTTCTTCTTATTCTTCTTCTATTCCTTTTGCGGGCAATGTCCTTCGGGACAATTCACCCATAATTTGATTTTTTATGAAAGAAAATATAAAAATGGAAAGCTGAAGCATATTGTGTCTTCAGGAATAAACGTTTATTGTTTATTTCATAGTAATGCTATCCGATAAATAGCAGATAAAGGATCAGTTCTAAAGAACCTATAGTGGAAAGAAAAATTCTTAGAACTGCATTAGGGATTTTTTATAACTTATAAGGACTACAACTAAAAGGAGATATTGGTAATATAAATAACAGCCTCGAGCTAGAACTACATAGATGATCGAATATCACTTTAGGGAACAAGTAGTATGAAACGAGAATCGGTGAGTTTGCCATTGTTACAATAGAACCAGGAAGAACTGGGATATTAATATGGTTAAAAGATGTAGAAGATCTAAACAATACCTGTGAAAATGTTTAACAGAGAGAACAATATGAATTCATGCAACTAAACCGATTAGAATTGGAACTGATCTAGTGGTGTTTTCAGGAACATGATTTATATTAAGAATTTTGAAGAATATTGTAGGTAGGTAGTTTATAATTGCAAAGTTAATTTTAGATGTTGATATATATTTTAAATTACCTACACCTGTCTAGGAAAATTGATTAAATTTACCGATTATTACCACTGTTAAAAATTTTAGTTAACATTTCTAACTCTTCCAGGTTAATACATGGTCTTTTTGTTGTCTATTTTTACACTATACTAACCACATTTAAATTTGTACAACTCATAAATATATTGTTCTAGGAAAATACTGTTATGACTTAAATTTTGTGTAGACTATTCGAATGTAATTTACAATTAAATAAAGAACAAATTTAAAGGCTTTACATAATTTTTACAATTATGCAAATATAAATTTATATATTTTTTAAATGAAATAGAGGAAATCATGGAAAAGGGTGAAAAAATAATCATTTATATTTCTTGTAATATTTTTATTAATGTAAAAAAGATATAAAGTATCTAACATTTTTAAATGCATTACCAACAGAGTCTTCGTTTGTGTGTTATCAATGCAGGATAGCTCAAAATGGCTGAACATAATCGCATTACTGCACTTACAATATTAAAATTGGTCATATCCATACTCTTCGGCCATTTCCCAAAAACTCCAATTCTGTAGAAACCTTAAATAACAAGAACATTACTTAATTTAGTAATAATCGTTATAATTCACTTCAGCTTTTGTTTCAATTTGTTTCGACAAAATAGTTAGATCTATTAACAAATTATTATAAACATAATAGTTTTATTTACCTATGAAGAGTACAGATACTCTTTTCACTTTGTTTTCCACAATAAAACCACATCTCATCGTAACTTATTGACACAATTAAATGACAAATGTGATGACAAATGGAAATAGAGGTTATGTTAAATAACATCCGGTATGCCATATTATTTGCCCAAATCGGCCAATTTTTGGTAAAAACCGATAAAAAACAGTCTGAAGGTTCTAATTCTGGAACAGTTCGCGCAGGCGCAGACATAAAAATGTTTTGGTTATATTATAAACCATCCTGAATCGGAAAAGTCGTAGAGTTCTGTGTTTTGGTTCAGTTATTTTATTATTCCAAAACAGTTATATTACTGAAAAAACAATTCTTTCTCATGAGAAAGTACAATTTTTGAAATTTTTTCACGTATACGTATAATCGTACTTATTCTTTTTTAAACCGCATTCATATCAAGAAAACAAAAAAAAGATACTCGTAACTTCTTATTAGTGCTTATAATTTTGTTTCTTCTTAAAATCTCCATATTTAAAACTGTCGAAAAATAAACGGATGCAGAAGAAATGTGAGATGTTTTAGTTTCTATTAAAAATAATCTAAACTAGTTTCTAAACTGGTTCATAAAGTTTTGTTTTCGTGCACGTTGTTGTGGGCAGATATAAAATAGTCCTAGAACCTTTATGAATTCTTAAGGTGATTACATCACCCCCTTATAATTTTCGGACATGGATATCTCAAAAAAAGATTGTTTTTAAAAAATTTAAATTTTGGAAAAATAAATTAGGCAATGATATCTAAAATATTCATATATTTTAAAGTTTTAATTCCTTCCAGTTTCCGAAAATGGTGTAAACTGGTGTAAATCATTTCAGCAGGAAACGAATAATGAGGCGTTTTAGCCACTAATATTGGCGAATTTTAAAAAATCATTAATAAGACATTAAGAATAGTGCTGTTGAGGAATGCATTTATTTTCATTATGATATTTCAAATATCTAAAGCCCGTTTTTCTTTTCGGAAACTGGAAGGAATTAAAACTTTAAAATATGTGCATATTCTAGATATTATTGCCTAATATATTTTGCCAAAATTTTAATTTTTTTAAAAAATAACTTTTTGATATATCCTTGTCCGAAAATTACAAGGGGGTGCTGTAATCACCTTAACCAAAATAGTAAATACTCCAGAATTTATCCATCCATTAAAAAAATTAAACGCAGAAGAAGAATGAATACACTTTGATACTTTATTAAATTTAATACTTATGCATGTATAATTATTTCCATAAATTTTATTGACCTAAAATTAACACATCGATCTACTGTTATTTTAATTATAATTTTTATTTTATATGGAAGACAGGCCATGGCAATTTCCAAAATTGTCTATGAAAATTTGCAACAAAAGGTTCCCCAAACGAAATGCCACAATTTCAATGATATGCTTTTATTTATTTAAATTGACAGATATATAATACAAATTTTCATAAATAACTTTTGTTCCCATACAATTTATTTACAAACTACGTATAAAAGAAAACATAATTTACACATTGCAAGGATATGTTGACTATACATTTAACAAGTAGTACATTTTTTAGGAAGTGTCTTACCTACCGCTTGACTGGCAAAATAAAAAATAAATCTAGAGGCCGGCAAACTTCTTCCACGTGTTTCATTTAGCTGTAGCCTTGATTATTTAGAATCTATAGATCAAATCATCGAATAGGATATTAAGACGGATAGTCGCCAAGCATCCCTTAAAACATTGCAAGGTAGATATTAGAATTAAACTGTTAACACTCTCTCAATGAACCATGCATAACATAACAAAAGCCTTAAATAGTTGCCAGTGTATCAAAAAATATGTAATTCCGTGTTCTCTTTTAGAATATTCAGAAAATGTATATTTACCAAACTCTAGAAAAGGGAACTTATCATTGAACTTTTTTTTTCAAATGTAGCTTCTAGAACTTTGTAGATTCAAAATAAATTATTTTGCAAGTCTTCAAAGTAGGAAGTTCAAAGACTTAGTCTTAGTCCAAAGATTTAGTCTTAGTCCAAAGTCTTAATCTTAGTCGAAATACTTAGTCTTAGTCCAAAGACTTAGTCATTAGTATTAGTCCAAAGACTTAGTCCTTAGGCTTAGTTCAAACAATTAGTCCTAAGACTTAGTTCTTAGACTTATATTCATAGAAGGTCCACCCAATAACAGACAAAATCAACTGTTTAAGCTTAGCTTAGTAATTCTTCAGGTGGTACAGAATTCTTCGGAAATCCTAAATACAAAGATTTAGTCTTCGTCCAAAGACTTAGTCTTAGTCCAAAGACTTAGTCTTAGTCCAAATACTTAGTCTTAGTCCAAAGACTTAGTTTTAGTCCAAAAACTTAATCTTAGTCGAAAGACGTAGTCTTAGTCCTAAGACTTAGTCTTTAGTCTTAGTTCAAAGAGTTAGTCCTTAGTCTTAGTTCAAAGAATTAGCCCTTAGACTTAGTCTTTAGACTTATATTCATGGCAGGTCCATCCATAACAGACAAAATCAACTGTTCAAGCTTAGCAGAAAAAAACTCAAGATCATAATAGGATTCTTTATGGGACACTGCGGTCTTATAAGACACCTACATATCTCGGATGTATCTATGTAGAAAATGTGATGACGGAAAAGCAACCCAAAAAAAATGCGAAAGTAAGAAGGGGGTAAAAAGTTATTGAATGAGATTAGAGATTTTAAGGTTATAAAGAAAAAATACTACAATAAAATTCCGGTCTAGCGGTCAGATAGACACTACCTATAGTATATTAAGACGTTTATAAATGACGTAAATAACATAAATATAGAATATACAATAAAATAAATATATATCATAAAATATTTACTAAAACTAAACTGCTCATATATTTTCTAGAATAATGGTGTTCATATACAGTTGATCCAATATTGAAAACTATTGGAAATATAACAAGTAGATATACAAAATGACGCAAATTTTTTTAAAAGAAATTTTCATTCATTCATTTAGAAAAATGAAAGTCATTTTGTATGAAAAATAACAAAATTTGATTATTGAAAAAATTAAACAATAGTTATATTTTTTTTATATATGAATATGTCAGTGATATGATACAAAATTAAAAACCCGTTTGGTATAATATACAGTGTGGATATGTTTTAGTTGCTGTCAAAAAAACTAAATTTTAATTTAGAAACTGAACTAATGTTATTTCTTCCGTCTTGTGCGTTAAATTTGAATTAAAAAGTATGTTTATCGAAAAATATAGAAGAGAAGTTTTTTCAATTTTTATAGAACCCATTGCATAATTTAATTTAAAAATATAGATTTCTAAAGCCTGCTTGAAATAGATTTATTTTTTTTTTGTTTATTTTTGTTACCTATATTAAAGAAGAAATTTGAAAAAGTTTTAAGGATTTTTAATAATCTGTATTTTCTTATATTTTGATTTTACTATAATTAATGAAATAAAGCTTTTTTTGTACAAAAACTGATCAGAGCCACGCCCAGTGACCGAAACTATAACTTAGTCCCCTGATGATGTTGATGTTTTCAGCGAAATATTCTTCAACCATCAAATGCTGTATTTGTCCTGCAATGATCACCCGCAAAAGATTAGCCTTCCCTTGGTCTAAACTAGTTGATAATTTAAACTTCCAGATTATCCATTAAAGAACTTGTTTATATAAAAATACAGATTATCTTTTTAATATAGAAAAGCTGAAGGTGATTCAAAGAAAATTGTTGAATATTAAAGAAAGTCCACTTGGTCTTGTAATTGTTTAAAGGGGTACGCGAACAATATTACCACAATAGGCTTAACTAGTATGGCAGCGAGTGGTATGCTAGTAGCTTGACCATAAGCGACATCTTGGTAAAGAATTGTTGGAGGTATACCATTAATGAGTAGTCCATTAACAATTTTACAAAAAATATTTAGTTATTTAATAACCCATAGCAATACCTAAAGATGCTACTATCTATAAAGAAATACAGTTCATACAAATTAGTCCAAAATTATATACCATAATTACTATAGCTGATAGTACTTTCAAAATTACGTCTTCTTCGCAAGAGATGGCATAAGTAGTACCAGAAAATTCAAGATTTAGAGGGTTGTGTTGCTCTTTATATTAAGTTTTGAAAATAAGTGTACAGATAGGTCTTAATAGATATACACCTTACTGGTTTCAAAACCTTAGAAACTGGTTCCACGTGAAAGAAAGAGCAAGTCTAATCAGACTAGACGCAACATAGATAAATATCAATTGATGAACGCCAACACATTCTGAGAGATGTTTGTTTGATTTAGGTTAGATTAAATATATTAATTAAAATCAATTTTAAGAGGAAATTATTAATACAATAATTAGAACACTTTTAACAGTGATGTGTAAAATGCTAAGTGGTTGACTCAAATGGAGCCTCAAATATGTATCGTATGAATCAATTTCTTCCAGTTTGTTCTATACTGGTATATAATATTCATTTCTTTTATGTTTTGCCGTTTCTTAAGCAGCCTAGAATAATATGCGGCTAGCAGAATAGCAGAATATTCTTGTCTTGCATCCATCCTACCCTCTAACTATTATACTTCTAGTTTCTTTCATTTATACTTTGTATATTTTATTTGACTGTACTCCTTAATTTATAATTTCTTATTCTGCTGTATTTGGTACTTCCTGCAATTTTGCATTCGGGTTTTTTAAGTGGTATCCTTGTGTTGCGGAGGTCCATTTCTGGGCAGATTGCTAATTTTACCCATACAACAGGGCGGCAAGACATGGTTTGCATTTTGTTTCGAACGTCTCTTGGTATTAACTTTTTTAATTTTTCTCTAATGCAATAAATGGTATACCCTCGCAAATGGTAAGCTAGTAACATGCCACATGTATCAGAAATGTACCATTAACGCAAGTGGCACCATTTCCATTTATTTAAATATTTACAATCAAAATGTGCAATAATCTAATCTACATTGGTGATCCGCCATATTTTTTAATATTTGAAAAATACGACTGTCTATACCTATTAAGGAAACTTTCGAAAAATATTATATTTAATTATTTTCAATATTTATTGTTATTTTTTTTTTATTTTTGCAATGATAATACTGCTTTCAATAAATTTCTTCTTAAAATTTAAGAAACATTTTCACAATTTAGAGATTATTGACTAATACATATGACAATTTGTTACTTTTAGAACCATGCTTATAATTGCAGAAAATGGTGAACTAAAAAAAGGTTTGTTTAAAAGTTTTACGAGGGCCATGCCAAAACTTTTTAGATACTTAAAAACCGTACATGCAGTGACAAGTTTGAAGCCCCACCATTTATAAGTATAGTTTTATTAAACACTAAGTCAACTCTAAAGGAATACCTCAAATCGAAGGAACAATTCGGCCCCTTTCTCGAGATCTCGAAAAAAATTGGGGGCTGAAGTTTTTAGGACGTGAAGATATTCTCGTAAGGGGCGTGTTTGGTGGCGGTAAGACTGAGGCCGACTATGCCTCCTTTCCTTTTTTCATGCTAGAAGGGTTGCAGGCAAGATCTATTTACCTTTCTTTTTTTGTGCCATTGTACTGTTTGATGGGGGCATACATTATAGATTTACAGCATTAGGCTGTTTTACTTCCTTCCAAGCTGGCTAATAGTGGTAGCTAGTTTTTTTTTGTCTCCATTTTATCTATTCTCTTTTTGTTCCACTAGTAACTATCCGGTTTTCTCAAGTGGATTGTGTGCTAGCCACTATCATCTGTTCGACCTGGAGTTATCGTTTCAGAAGTTTGTATGCCAGTTCCAGAACGTTTTAATTTCATGTCTGACAACAGAACACTCAAAAGTGAGACTTTTACCAACATTAGAGATTAAATTGGTAGAATTACGTTAATTTAATATGTAATCTTCTTTTAATAGAGGTACGGCGCCAGAAATGTTTGAATCTTTACTACCTCTATCAGAAAAACACGTTGATTGATTACTGAATCATTTACAGTTAATTCATCAGAAGAACAAGATCTATTAGTAGAGATAATCTTTTTGTCACATTCTCTTGCTGAATATTCTTGGTTTGTGTATCTGTTAGGAATTTCAATAATTCTAATATTATTAATCCCATGATTATATTCTGGTAAATGAAAACTTTCTGTTGATGCAGTTGAGCATTGGGCGAAACTGGTTGATTTAAATCATATTTTTGGGCTTATTCCTGTAGGGGTCTTTTTAGATTTTGAATTTCAACACTTTCTAGTCCTGTTAAGACTGAGAACAGTGAAAATTTTTGAAAAATCTGTTTTAAAGTACCTGTATAATATTTGCGAATATCTGAGATTTCCTTTGGCTTCATATTATCTTGTTTTGTACATGGTCTATATTTATTTAATATAAAATTTTCTTTTAATAGAGAGACAGTACCAAGAATGTTTGAATCTGTACTATCTGTATCAGAAAAACAAATTAAAGGGATCCCACTCTTATTTACTGAATCATTTGCAGTTAATTCATCAGAAAAACAAGATCTATCGGTAGAGATAACCTTTTTGTCACATTCGCTCGCTGAATACCCTTGGTTTATGTTTTTCTCAGAAATTTCAATAATGCTGATATTATTGATCCCTAGATTAGATATGTCTGATAAAAGAAAACTTTCTGTTGATGCAGTTGGGCATTGGGCGAAACTAGTTGATGATTTTTCTTAATCTGTCATATTTGAGAGTTTAAATTAATTCAAACCATATTTTTAAGACCACTTCTGTAGGGATCTTTTTAGATATTGAATTTCAACAGTTTCTGGTTCTGTTAAGATTGAGAGCAGTAAAAAATAGGATATTTGTCTTTCCTCATTGGCAATTTGCTTCTGTAAATTCAGTTCTATGATAGGGATATTCTGTTCTGCAGCATCTCTCTGATTCAATCTCTGAATTTACGATACAATTTTCAGACTCAACTAAAGAGTCCATAGCCGAATTTGAGACTAAATCTGTCCCATATTGCTTATCACTACTGGGGTACATATTTATGTTCCTTGATGTGCAAATCCAAAAATGGAATGTCTTTTACCAAATTTTCCAAAAGCGAAGTTGTGTCTGTTAACTATTTTAAATTTTAAAGTATCTATACAGTATTTGCGAACATGAGAATTCCTTTGGCTGCATATTATGTTGTTTTTTACAAAGGTTACAGTCGGAACTATTCTACTATTTCAAAAAGTAACTTATCGTCGTTGATACTGCAATTGATCATGTCAAAAAAAAAAACGAATTTTCAGGAGATACAAGAATATTAGTAATTTATAGGTCCTTCCTGTTTTTTTAAGACATAAGAGATATAAGCTAATATGCAAAATCCGCTTTATTATTGGATAATCGCATAATAACTTTTGCAGTACGTTAGCAGGAGTTTTTTTGCTTTTGAGTAAATCTTAAGCTGAAATTCTATTTTTTTTTTCTTTGGTGTACGGCTTCAACATCTAAGGTTATTAGCCTAGTGTTCTATGTAGGTTATGGATTGTACTAGTAGTCTAATACTCCATTGTGCAGGAGTATTAGTACTCTAATACTCCTACACCCCTACAGACAGGCCTTGTTACTGTTTCCTTGCGCCACTTTAGGAACAGCACTGTTAATTAGAACCCAACAGTGAAGAGTCGAGTGGGGAATCCTACCAAGGCATTAGAATTAATTTTAAATAATGAAATTAAATAAAAAAATTCCGGCCAACGGTGGGATTCGAACCTGGGACCCTTGGATCCACAGACAGAGACTCTACCACTGAGCCACCCACTCCCCGGAAGTGTATTTTTAACATACGAGCTATTGCAGTATCAACAACGCTATGTAACTTGCAATTTTTTTGTAACAGGGCGTCACACCCCAGAAATTAAAGATTCCAGGCATGCGCATTTGCTATAAAATTTTAAACCGAATTCATCTGCACTGTATCAGAATATAGTAATTCAATTCATTATCTTTCTCTAGCTTCTTGAAATGAACCGATATGAACGAACTGGACTCGGTATCAATGAATTCAAAGACTATCGACTAAAGATAGTAAGTGAGAAGAGCCAGTGTCGTCGTTATGGGTTTATTATTTAATTTAATATTAGTTGAGTTATTTTAAACATGTATTTAACATTAAGAAGATATTATATTTAATAGGAATCATAATGACAGGGGATTTTCAATTTTTGTTTCTCTTTATAGTTGATTTATTGTTCATTATAACTATAATAATGCTGACGAACATCGAGTAATTAAAAACGAGGCGCTTTCGTAATAATTGAATAATGCGTAATACAATTTTATTATATTGAAAAACGTTAGTATGACCCTCGAATACTAATGCGTATTGCGTATATCACACAAACATTTTGTAAACGTCGATATTAATAAGTGTATTAAATAAGTTATGCTTATAAATTAAGTTAAAAATGTATACAATTTTCTCAAAACACTTGGAACAGTAGGATTTTAAAAATACAGTTTTCTAAAACCTATCAGACTAAAAAACAATATTTTTAGTCAATTTGTTAGAATTGGATATCATTTTTAACAATAATTAATATATGGCTTAGTAAAAAATTGTATTAAAATATCTACAAATACAATTCATAATGATAGATTTTTTCTTTACATAATGACAGGGTGATTCACATACTTATATGGTGTACACAGTATGGTGCGGTATTCCATAATAGTTATAGATTTAAATTAAAAAATGGATATTAGGGATGTAGAGCTATGATATGATGTAAACATATATTCAAAAATGAACATCCCAAAAAAATTCAAATCAATCTAATTGTATTTAGTGGAGATCACTTTACATTTTAACCTTTTCAGAAATAATTATTCATGGCAAAATTTGGGATTTAAAGTAAAAATTTTCATTTAAAAACATTTTTGAATTCTCACGGTTGTTTGCCAGCGTATACATTTGTGAAATAAAATGAATATGAATTAATATTTAGCCATACTCTTGTGTTAGGTTGTAAATTGTGTCACGTCAAATCGTAACCAATCGTATACAGTACACAGTTTTTCTTATGACATTAAAAGTGGGGGGGATAACTAATAATTTCTAAATTCAGAAAAGTTGCTCAAAATTTCTTTCATTTTTAGTTAATTTTAAGGGTGTATATACACTTATAAAAACGTGGTCAAATTCCTTATTTTCAAAAAAAGTACACTTGAAATTATGAATATTCAAAAATGTTGTTTGGCCAGCCATCCTCTATACATAAAATAGTTATACATTTTAGAACCTTGAATATGGTTAAATATTATTTAATTTCACAGCAGTATTCGGTGATAAACAGTTAAATCCAAAATTTAACCGAATTCTTCTGAAAATGTGAAAATATATAGCGCCCGCCCTCAATTAAAAAAAAAAAACTCAAAAGTTATAAAAAATTAACAATAAAGTTCCTATCTAACATTTCGCTCTGTATACAGTATTCTAAAATCGATTTCCATAAAAATGCAATCAAAATTTTGTACTTCATTCACATTTTTGTTAGTTTTAGTGAAGTTTTATTATCCAGTAAAATTTTTGATAAACTTTGGTGAAGCAAAAACACTTTTACTCCAAATCTTTAATTTCGCTTCAACTTAAAAACGTTCATGATTTACTGAGTTTGAGCCTGATTATCGCAAAACATTTCTGGGAATTTATTCTTAATTATGGACATTTGCAATCATTTTTATTGCCTAGGCAGTAAAAGTGACACTGATACGTAAAGATAAAGCTAAACAAATTACCTAACGAGCTTTTGATTTAAACGTTCTTTCATTGCGGATATTTAACATTTTCTTATAATCATCGAGTCAAAAAGGAATACAGATGTTTTAGGAGGTGATAGAACAATAAAAATTAAGGTCAGTTTGCTATATAAACTAATGTTCGAAACTTTTAAATAAGGGAGATAAAGCAATTCAAAGGGGGAATGGAAAAACCAACTTTCAACCGCAACAAACTATCAACTCCGAATTTCTTGGAGAAATTAAAAGTTTTATGTTATTTCATTTAATGATAACACAAAAGAAAAATATATTTTTAGAGGGGTAGTTTAAGGGGGTGGATTGGGTATTCTAACTCCTATTTTATCTTTTCAGAAAAATTGTTGAAGAAAAACAAATTTTCATAGTTTTTCCTACAAAAAAAGGTATTCTTGTCTAAACGCGATAGAGTGAACCGTTTTTGAATAAGTTAACCTTTAAAATGTAACTTATTCATAATATCTTAAATAACATTAAAAGTTTGCCATGTATTGTTGCAATATAAACTATCTAATAAGCTAGGGAATGTCACAATATTGTTCAAGTAAAAGTGACAATACGATATGTTATTCGTGCTAGTATTATTTTTGTTAAGACATGTACAACACATTTGACGAGTATACCGACATGCTACTTATGATGGGTGATTGTCTGGGAAATGCTAATGCTGAAGTCAGAAGATATGCAGAAAAATTTCCTCTTAGAAATGTACCAAATTTAAGGACAGTTCTTAACGTTGAAAGGCGACTTAGGGAAACAGGAAAACTAGAAGTAAAAAATAATACAAGTCGACCACTAATTGCCAGAACAGTAGAGGTAGAAGAAAAAACTTTAAACATTGTTGACAAATAGTCTTTAGGTCAGATAATTCGCAATCTACAGTGAGTAGAGTATTGCGTGAATAGTCTTTGCATGGTTTTCACTTTCGAAAAGTTCAAGAACTTCTTTCTGACAATTTACCAATCAGAAATGAGTTTTGCCAGGCAATGTTAGAGAAAACCAAATCCTTTTCACCGATGAGCCCACATTTACAAGGCAAGGTTTCAATCCGCACAGCTCCCATTTTGATGCTGAAGAAAATCCTTTTGTTGTGCAAGAATACCATTATCAACATACATTTAAAATCAATGTTTGGGCAATGACAAAGAGTAATAAATTCCTTGGATTTTTTTATTTTACCGGACAATTTGGAAACATTTTTTAGAGAGAACCAGAAGATGTACCTTTACAAATGGGGAATGAAAAGATATTTATGCATAATGGGGCTCTGCCCCATTTTACAAGGGCTGCCAGCTTGTGGTTACATCAAAATTTTCCTACCAGATGGATAGGCAGGGGCAAAGGTGCACTTGTTCACTGTCCTGCTCGGTCGCCAGAGTTAAATCCACTGGACTTTACTGTGTGGGTATATTTAAAGTCTAGGGTCTATAATTCATAAATTAATAATTTAGTAGAATTGAGAAAGCGGCTAGTAAATGAGTGAACTGCAGCGTTAATGAACAATGACTGTTAAGTTTTATACATTTATTTTTTAGTAGTTGTTGATGTTGTCACCTTGTATATAGATTTAGAAAAAAATATTATATGTCAGTTAATAAAAGTCAAGTCGTATAAAAGTCTTTTATATACATACTTGGTATTTCCTGTACGGTCAGATTATTTCCCGTACAATGACTATATTTTAAACTGAATTATGCTTTCTCTGAGACGACGACTAAACCTATGTATTGAACAAAATGGAGGACATTTTGAACATTTGTTGTAGTTTAATATTATAATTTAATTATTAAGATTTTATGTAGAAGATTCGTTTATGATCATACTTGAGATTTTGCATTTTGCAATGCTGTTATCATGTTACGAATTTTCTAGTCTGCAAATATATTTTAAAAATCAGATTATTCAAAAAAGGTTCACTCTATCGCGTTTAAACAAGAATACAATAGAAATTTATTTTTCTTAAACAATTTTTCTGGAAAGATACAATTATTAAGAATAGAGGTAAGAATAGGTAACCTACTTTAAACTACTCCTCTAATTTTTTTTCTGTATTACTATTAAATCAAATGATATAAAACTTTTTATTTTTCCAAGAAATTTGGAGTTGATAGTTTGCTCTGGTTCGATTGAATGGCTTTATTTGCCCCTTTGAATGGCTTTATCCCCCTTATTTCAAATTATTTCGGACTTTAATTTTTATAGCAAACTTGCCTCAATTTTCTTTCTTCTATCACCTCCCAAAATATTTTGACTCACCTTGTAAATTTGGGTAAATATTAAAAATTCGGCAAAAACAGGCTTAATTTCTAGCGGATTTTTTTTTAAATAATATAAACAATCTACGAATACAGGGCATAGAAATAAATAACTATTGAATGAAAATCTTTAATTTAAAATAAGTAGGTACTTACTGCATTGGACAATCTAGCTAGTTTAAAAAGGCCGTATACATAGTAAAAGTTTATATGGTAAATAATATTTTGTTGACACTTTTTAATGATCATCTGGTATACGAAAGTATATACAGTTTGCTCGTAATTCACCCTGTAAAAGTACTTTTTCGAAAAACATGATATGACATAATATGTACCTATCTGAAATATGTTGTGTACTTATAATTAAGTCATTTTGATTTTATTTTAGAATTATGGAAATTAATAAAAAAAAAAACATTTTCCTAGTTGTATATTTGATGGCACTAGGTACCTATTCTAGAATTTGACATACTGAAAAGGTGTTAAACATGAATAATAATGGCATGTAATAAAATATAGTCAATAAGACTTTTTTACACTTTTATTGATAGATATTTCTACGATATGAATTCATTTATTTCACAAAATCTTGATAAAAAATTATGTGCCTAACTATTTTTTAAAAATATTGCTTTGTGAAATATGTAGTATTTTTCTGTGATATGTGAGTAGTAAAATGATCGTTTCAAAAACATTCTTTATAATTGTTATTTTCAATGTACATTTTTTTTTTTTCAATATTTAAAACCTTTTCAATGATGCAACGATTCGTCAAATCATCTTACTCCATTGTATTATATTGGACATTTTTTACTTTGAAATATCTATAGACTCCATATCCAGAAATCGTTAGCAGAACAGCTACTGCTAATGTAGATCCCACTGCAATTGGAGCTGTTTCATCCCTAGAATAAAAACAAACATATAGATACTTGGAATGCGCTGCTATTCGCTCAGTGCGAAGTCATGGTAGGGGAAGCAAAAGAGATGCTAGCGCTAGCTGCGGACAATTCGTGCATTTTGTAATTTTGGCATATCAAATACACGTATACGTAGGTGAAAACAATACAATAAGCAATCGGAGTTGCTGTGTTGAAAATGGTAAAAATACTAACAAAAAAAAACAATGTAAATTATAAAAATTTTCAGTAGCAAAGTGGAAATTAAATCAAAGAAATAAATGGATAGGTGTACAATAAATTACCTTCATTTTTGTAATATTAACGTTAATACTAAAAATAGTAGACATCAGAAACTTGAAAGGTTTCAAATAAACAGTAAATTATCATTTTACGATGTTCTTCAACATCCCTTTAATCTTAAATGTTCAGCAAGAACTAGATTTCTGCCTTTGATTATTGTATGTGGCTGGAATGCAATTTTGTGACTTACTGATAGGAAACCAGTTTGAATCATATGGTTTATTTCGAACCAAAATAAAAATATAAATAACGATCTTTCTGTTTATACATTTTAACTTCACGCTATTATTTAATAGTATTTTTTTTATTTTGACAGAATAGGCCAATTCTTCAAAGACAACTTATTAGACTTAGACAATTTCTCATACATTTTCCCGTAAATACTGCTATCTGCCTATATTTTATTATTGATTTTTATTGATTATACTTAATTTTTTTTGTTTAAGCGATAAAAATATATAATAATAATAATAATAATCATAAATTAATGTTTTACTTGTTTTACAAATCCATATACTTTTATTAAAATTAACATATTCACTTTTTAATTAGAAATTCTATTAAAAATTGTATTGTCAGTATAGGCAATAGTCCACTAGTACATAAATAAATTGGCGTCATAAATTATACCAGTAATTCGGGAATCACAAATAGTCCTAACTATGGATTGTAGTGGAAAGGAAGACAATCTCATGTGGTTGTTTATCTCAAAAAGTGTACACCACAAAGTAGTAAATAAAGTTTCAGAAAGTTGCCAGAGTGGTGAGACCACATACTTTGATTACTATACGAGGCATGTAGGATGTAGGCAACACGTAATAAGGGTTCAAAATGGCGGAGTTTTCTATCTCCTTTTAAAAGGCACTCAGAAAGCTGCGCAGTGCGACCATTCTCCGTATAGTAAAAGAAAATCAAAGTATGTGGGTGAGACTTATTTAAAGTCGGTAGGCTCCAGTCGGGTAAATCCGAAGATCTGGAACCTGGTTCTCTCCAGAGCGGAGCAGGTTTAATGTACCTGCTCTGCTCTGCAGACTTGACCTCCACGCTGCAGAATCGACAGTCTGATATTTGTTGCAGACCTATCCTTCTTATGTGGTTGCCCAGATGGCAGTGTCCTGTCATCAGTCCAGTGAAAATGCGTAGATCTTTTCTACTCCATTATCGGATCTAAGCAGAGACATTCATAGAAGGGTTGGTTATAAACGCCTTCGAATGGGTTAGCCCTGGGGTATCTCTCTAGTTCGTCAGTTTTGCGCCCTCTGTCCATTTTAAGATAATTCCTATGAACACAGATTCGGTTTCTCTTTTAGCAAGTGCGTCGGCTTTTACGAAAGAGATAGATACTTGTTATTTTATTAAACGCATTTTACATCTATCTATTTTTAGAAATCGAAGATTTCCCGCAGGTGGATGCTTCAAAAAGCTCTCTCAAGAGACCCACAGTGCAGCATTGGTGTGTTAATTAAAGAGGATTGCATGAAAACTACTAACCTCTAAAATAGCATCAAAATTCTGCGGTCAACACACTTACCTGACTCAGTCATCACAGACGTGGCCGACTGGGCAGAGAAAGAATACAACTCATTTATCTATGATTGGAAAACTGCTAAACACATTCTAGACGATGATAAAATTATATAGGCAATATCCAGCTTCTCTCCCGTTAAATCGCCAGGACCTGACTCCTTTAGTGGGGTCTGGAAGAACAACGTACCTGGTAGGTATATTCAGATCTTGGTTGGTATATCCCCAAAAAATGGAGAGAGGTAAAAGTGATCTTCATACAAAAACCTGTAAGGATGGATTACACTGTCCCAAAAACATATCGACCAATTGTCTGATGTTGTTTTTCATGAACATATTGGAAATGCTATGCGAAAGGTACATAAGGGATGCGGTTATTACAACAACTCAACTACACCCAACTTAACATGCATACACCTCAGGCAGATATACTTATTCAGCCCTTCACCTAGTTCCTGGCCAGATAGAGAGATTCCTGGACAAAAAGAAGTCCGCCTTGAGTGTTTTCATAGACAGAAGGTGCTTTTAGTAAAACCACCTTCCCCAAAATAATACACTCACTAATAAACAGGAATGTTCCACAGATGTTTAGTGAGTGGATACATAAATGCTCTCAAAGAGATTAGTAAACATAAGTGTCGAAGATGTGAATATAAGAAGCTTGGTTGCAAGGGGATGTCCACAGAGGGGACATCTACTATGGAACATGGTCCTTGACACCCTCATCGGTCGCCTCAATAATGACAGTCACTACACAATAGCGTATGTAGATGACCTGATCATTCTGCAAACAGTAAATTTTGAGAGCATACTCTGTGATATCCGGACATGGAAGATTCAATAGTTATCGTCATAGAATGAAACTGGTAAATAGTGAAGACTACAGGTACTGTGGAAACCCGGACACACCCCAACTATCTGTACTAGAGTGTACAAACTGGAACACCTATAGAGAAGAAGCAACACAGGAACCAATCACCGCGAACAATATCATACGACATGCTACAAAGCGAGAAGAAATGGACAGCGATAAATAACATGGTAATAACGATCCTCAAAATTAAAAAACAACACGACAAATAATAATAAAATATTGAGACGTTCTAACAAGTTATCTTCCTTGAAGTAATACCAGGCCGGTAGTTCCAAGGAAGATTTCGACAAGTCTTCAGATTTTTTGGTCTGTCGATTTGTCGATATTTCGATTGATTTTTCGATTTTTCGATTTTTCGATTTTTCGATTTTTCGATTTTTCGATTTTTCGATTTTTCGATTTTTCGATTTTTCGATTTTTCGATTTTTCGATTTTTCTATTTTTCGATTTTTCGATTTTTCGATTTTTCGATTTTTCGATTTTTCGATTTTTCGATTTTTCGATTTTTCGATTTTTCGATTTTTCGATTTTTCGATTTTTCGATTTTTCGATTTTTCGATTTTTCGATTTTTCGATTTTTCGATTTTTCGATTTTTCGATTTTTCGATTTTTCGATTTTTCGATTTTTCGATTTTTCGATTTTTCGATTTTTCGATTTTTCGATTTTTCGATTTTTCGATTTTTCTATTTTTCGATTTTTCGATTTTTCGATTTAAAAATCACTTTTGTATATTTTCATTTCATAATTGGCGAAATAATAAACTTTTCGTACTCAGTTGCATAATGTTCTACTTTATTTAGCAAAAGTCAAAACGAAGTAGATCGTTTTTACTTTTGCTACGATTACAAAATGTGTCATTTTATACGTCAAAATTAGAAAACATATTTTAATCTAATTTTGACTAGAATATTTATAAAATTATGTTTTGGTAAGAAATTACTGACATCTAGGCAACCAATATTATTACTTTCTTGTATTGTTGCTCTACATATGCATCATTTAATTGACAGAACATAATATTAATTATCTATTCTCAATGACTTGTAGTGGTTTATATGGCTTATTAAAGTTATTTTTTCACCTACCATATGTAAAAATGAATCATATCAACCCTAAAAATATGACCGAAAGTAACGTATATCGTCCCATGGGCTGCTAAACTCATAACAGCCCGATTTTGTAGTTTTTCACTAGATATCTAGATACCTTTGACTGTCACTTGCGTACTTTGACGTTTCACATAAATTTTGATTAAACGTCAGTGTAAGTCTATTAGTGAACATGAATAGTCAAATATTAATTATTACTACAATAAATAAATTCGTACATTTTACTAATTAAGTTTCTTGTATTTGTAAAATTAAAGATTTTCGTTATATTTTCCTTTTCTTTGTTTTTTTTTTTTTGGTAGGCGAAAAACAATAATTGTGCGTCATACATGCAGAAAACGCTTTAGCAGCCCTTAGCTATCAGCTGCCCTCGCTTCGCTTCGCTTGCTTAGGCAGCTAATAGCCATGGGCTGCTAAAGCTCATTTTCTGCCCTTGTGACACAATATACTATAGTTTTCAAAAAAGGAGGTGTATTGTGTTTTAATTATCTTGTGCTGATTTAGAATGGAAAATGAAGACCAAAACAACATTACTACTAGGTTGTAAGTTTAACCCATTCTATTTTTATAAGTAAACCTGGCCTTCTTTGATATAAACTTTTAATAATTATGTATATTATTGATTTTAAAACCAAAAAAAATAGTTTTATTTATTTTCTTTTTACAATTTCATAATGTTCAACATTATACAACTGGTTGCGTAAAGTAGATCATTTGGACACTTGCTACGATTAGAAAAGATGTCACTTTATATGTCAAAATTTGAAAAAATGGTGTTTTGTAAGTTGAATTAAGACATTTTTATTTTTTATAGTCAAATATCTAAATTAATTTTTACACACCGTATCTCAAGTTCTAACATGCTGGCACATCAAAAAGTGATACAGAAAGTGTGAGGATGTAAAAGAACGTATCATGATTTCGGAAGATGTATGAAAGATTTAAGAGGATTTCCGAGGATGTATGAAGAATTTCTGAAGATGTATAGGATTTATGAGGATTTCCGTGGAAGTATGTAAGGATGTTTAAGGATTCACAAGGAAATATGAGGATTTATAAGGATTTATTTCTACTAAAAGGATATAGGTGTACAAAATTTAGGTCAGTGGTTTGCCTCTCGTTCTCGTTTGAAATGTATTTAAAATACCTGATCAGTAATTTTGTTTGGATTTAGGTTAATTTTTTGAATTAACTA